TCCCTGCCTTCCTCATCCTGCCGGAGAGAGACTGAGATAGGTGGGGGATCGGGCTGGTGGAGAGACCAGACGTGGGCTCCCAGGCTCCAAGTTTCCCTATGTTGGGGCGGGGGGTCATGGCTGAGGCTCAGGGCCACTCCCCTTGACCTCTCTGGAGCCTCCCCAGGCCCTGAAGACGGCGGGAGACACAGGACTTTATAACTATAACGGGGCGCTCAGCCTTCCTGCTGTTCCGCACGTACCCTCCCTCCCTTGATCGCTGGCCTCCATCCAGCATCCCCTCTCCGGATCAGTCTAAGCTGCTCCTTTGCCTTCCTTGCTTGGATCTGATGAAGGCCCCCTCCGGAAAACATGCCTGAAGGCATGACCACACCCCCAGCTCCGGCCTCCCACTGGAGGCTGGAATGTGATTCTGTGGTTTCCCCTTCAAGTCCTGGAGGGGTGAGAGCGTGGCGGCCATCCTGCAAGGCGGCTCTCAATGTTGCTTCCGTCCCCACCTCCACAAGGGCTCCTTGGTGGCCCCTGCTCACTCTGAGGGGGCGGCCCCCTGGGTCTCGGAGTCCCCCCTTCTGCAGGTCTCCCTCCCAAGCCCTCTTGATTTCTAACTTCTCCAACCCTTCAGCCTGACATCTCGCTGTTGTTTGTTTGTTTGTTTTCTTCCTGTCATTTCATGTTGATGAGATAAAACCTGATGAAGAACCCTGTCTGTGCCCCACCCCCAGTCACTGGATCCTGGGATGGGCTAGGGGGACAGTTAGTTCCCGCCTCGCTGGGAGCAGGTGTGGAGTTGGGTGTGTGTGGGTGCCTTTGTTGGCGTGGGTGGACAGGTGGATGGTGGGAAGGTGTGTGAGTGCACCCCGCTAGGGGCTCCTCCATACACAGCCCGGACGAGGCCCCCACTTGCTGAACCTCCTGACCTGTAGCCGGCTACTGGGAAGAGGTGGGGGTGGTTTCTGGCGATGGGGCCAAGCGTGGCAGAGGTGGTTCCGAGGGGACAGCTCACATCTGCTGGGATGTGTCTAGGACTGGGGTGGGGTCCGGCCAACATCCACTCTGCTGGCTCAGGTCTCAGCCACTCCTTCCCATCTCAAGGGCTCCTACTTGCCTGCTGACTCTCTTGAGAGCCCTCTGGGGGCTGGGGGTGGACCCCAGCCCCAGCCTCCTCCAGTTCAGTCCAGGGTCCCCAGGCAGTTTTGCTGCCTGAGGCCAGCTGCCCAGAGCCTGCTTTCCTGAAAGGAGCCCTCACAACCTGTCCACAGGAGCCTGGCTTGGAGTGGGGTGGGAGGCTTGTCCTGTCCAGGCCCACCCTGGACTGAGAGCGGGGTGGATGGGAGGGATCAGGGCTGCGGGCACCACCCCCGAAACTGAGAGAGGGCCCCCGAGGCCGCGGAGACGCTGGCTGTGAAGCCACTCTCAGGGCGGGTACGCCGGTCTGCTGGGAGACTCGGGACATCACGGGGCATGCGCGAGGAAGCATCCTGGCCTCTGAGATGTCAGGGCAGGTACCGGCGGGGGCGGGGGGCCCACCTGGTGTTTCGCTGGCTCCCCTGGTGGCTTGCTTCTTTGGGGCTGGGGGTGAATCTGAGCTGAATACAATTTGCTCCAGGAAGCTCTGATGCCCTCTCTCCACCAGGTCCCGACACAGGGTCAGTGGCTCCTGCTTTTGACGGAGACACGCGCCCCCTCGGCCCTGTGCTCGGGCTCCATTATCACTCCATGCCCTCCCGGTCTCCTGTCGCGTCTGCACCTCTGGGTCCAGTTTTCACCTCTGGGAAGCCCTCCCTGCTTGCTCCTTGCTGAGTGCTCTCTTCTCTGACCCCTGCAGCCCCGGTCTCTCACGTCTTATGGGTAGGTCCCGGAGCTCCTTGTCCAGCCAGGACCTGCCTCCCTCATTTACCTTGAGAATGAGCCCAGAGGTAAGACAAATGCCTGTGGCACCTTCCCATTGTCCCTGGAGTCCGAAAGACTATCCTAGGAGTCTGAGGAACGCAGAGCATCTGGGTGCTGATGACTGACAGGCAGGGCTTTGAATTTTGGCTCGGCCACCGCATAGCTGTGTGATCTGGAACAAGTTACTTGGCCTCCCTGGGCCTTTGTTTGTACCTTTAAGCGGGGCCAATGACTTCCACTTCCCAGAGTTGTAGTATGGATTACATGTGTTTGTTTAAGAATTCCCCCGCAGTCCAGGGGTTAAGACTCTGCTCTCTGCCAAGTGCCTGGGTTCAATTCCTGGCCGGGGAACTAAGATTCCACAAGCTGCATGGTGCTCCCAAAAGGAAAATAAATAAAACAAAATAAATGCTGGCCCTCAGTGGGTGCTTTGTAAACACGAGCTTCTCTGGGAAGTGAGCTCTCCCATCCTTGGGTGAAGACGTGGAGGCCCAGAGAAGTGGTGTCCAGGCCAGAGCTCATTTTGCACAAAGGTGGGACTAGAACCCAGGACCAGAACAAGAACTGCCGTCCTGTACTCTTCCTGGGGAGCCCCGGCCAAGCACCTAGCCTGTGTAACCCGGGATGAGGAGAACCAGGGTGGGGATAAACCCCCCTCTCCCTCCGGGACCCCTTCCTCTCGCTCCCACACCTGTGCCCCCCAAGTCTCCCCGGCTCCCAGCCATCTTCCTCCCTACCTGCTTTCTCCCAGGCCTCCCTCTGCCTTCTGCCCCTTCCCCTTCTCCTTTCTGGGCTCTTCCCTTCCTGTTGGATTTCTCCTCCCCTCCCCCTCCTACCCCTGCCTCCATCTCCCCGTCTCCTGTTCCCATTTGTTTCATCTTTGTTAATGCCCACCTCTCCCCCATTCCCCTCCCTCCGCAGAAGAAGTATTTAATGGATATTAAATTATTTTAAACTTTCTTTTTTTTTCCAAAGAGCTTGGTGATGATGCTGACTCAGGATCATCTCACTGTCTAATATTGAATATGCAATTAATAGATAGATGTTTAGGTTTGGCTCGCTTTCCCCCACCTCCCCCCCCACCCCCACCCCCTTGCTACCACAGGAAGGATAAAAAAGCTGATTAATCTGGTTTGGGGCAAGTGTCAACGCGGGAGATATATGGGAGAAAGGAGATGAGGTTAGCAACTTGGAGTCGAAGAGCGACTGCCTCCAAGGCAAGTGAGGGAGAAATGGTTTGTGTTGGAGCTTGGAACGGCAGGCCTCCCGACACCTGGCTAAGAGCCTGGGGTAAACGGGCGGGACTCTGAGCTGGTGGTGGTGGCGGAAGGCCCTCCCCGCACTGGGCCTTCTTCCGGCCACTCCACCATCCCCAGGTGTGGAACGTCCCCTCCTTCAATCAGCTCAGGTGCCACCTCCTCTGAGGCCTCTGGCTGCCCCCAACTCGGGGACCCCTCCTCTGGGGGTGTGGGTGCCGCCTGCCGTCCGAGCTCCCTCCCTTACATGACAGGTGTCCCCCAAAGGGCCGGGGTCTCCGCTGCCTCCTTGAGGCCCCGCCACACGGCAGGGGCATTGCGGGAGGCCTGGCCCTGGGTGTTTGAGGAGCCTCTGTGGGCAGAGAAAAGCAAGTAACTGGGCCGCCAGGAGGGGGCAGGAGCCAGCAGTGTGAATCAGGTGATCTCAGCACAAGCCGTTTCTGCTCACCGACTGACCTGTCTCCACCTCCACGATGGGGGTCCTCAGGGGGTCACGGGGACGCGGGCCTGTGCCCTGGGGCATGGGGCCTCTTCGGGCAGCACCAGGACGCGGGTTAGCCTTGTCGGGCGTGATTCGAGGCCTGGGTCCGGAGGGCCACAGAGGCCTTGTACCCAGGTGGGAGCCCTGCCGGGCCCCCGAGGGCAGCGACCTGTGCTGGAGGGACCCTAGGCACCTCCCTGGGGTGGGCAGGCTACCTGTGGCCACACTACAGGACAAGGGCTCGCCTCTCAACTTTCCAAGTAGCTTTTGTCTATATGACTTCAGGCTCTTAATTTCTTGGAAGATTTGGGGGGAGGGAGGGATAGGGAGAGAGATGTTCCTCAGTGCCCAGCTGAGCTGAGCTGAGAGTGACTGTCCAGGCCCACTCAGGGAGGGCCCAGGGGCAGAGGGTGCTGGCATGGGCATGGAGTGGGCCTGGTGCCCGGTCAGAACCTGGGATGGTGGGTGCTTGACAGAGGAAGCTGGAGCCTGGTCTGGTCTGGCCTCTGTGTACAGTGTGGGTGAGGCCATGCTGGTGGAGACAGCAGAGCCTCCCCTCAGGGAGCGGGGGCCTGTGTATGTGGGTGAGGCTGTGTGTCCTTCTGCTCTGTCCCTTCCAGACATCAGCCTGTCTGCCTGTATCTAGGTCCGGATCTTGGCCGGAGTGGCCCCACACCCCCAAGGGCAGCCCTCCTCAGACTTGCCCATTCTGGCCTGAACTTTCCACCGCAGGCGTGTTCTATGTCACTTCAGTCGTGTCCGACTCTTTGCAACCCTACAGACTGTAGCCCACCAGGCTCCTCTGTCTGCAGGGAGAATCTGCAGGGGATTCTCCAGGCAGGAATACTGAGTGGGTTGCTGTGCCCTCCTCCAGGGGATCTTCCCCACCCAGGGATCGAACACGCATCTCTTCCCTCTCCCGCATTGGCTGGCGGGCTCTTTACCACGGGCACCACCTGGGAAGGCTGGGGAAGGATTGAAGCACATTTACTCCCTCCCATCCTGGCGCCCTTTCAGCCAGTCCAGTCCCATCACAGTGGGGTTCTCCTTCCTGACATGGAGGTGTCTTAAAGGGGGCAGTGAAGCACCCAAGACATCCTGCCCACTGACTCACAGACAGGAAGGAACCGCAGCAAAATGCAGACCCCAATCCACTCTCCTCCTCTTCAGTCTGTCCCCACACCAGCCACCCAGGGCTCCAAAGGCCATCCCAAGCCCCAGCCATGAGGTCCCCAGGGGGCCGGAGGCAGCGGCAGGGAGTCGCTGCAACCCCCTCCCGTGGTGGTGGGGGGGCGGGGGCGGGAATGGAGGGAAGGGAGGGGCAGAGACAAGTGGGCCCTCACGTGAAGGGGGCTGGCGCAGGCAGCTACTACCTCCTCGACTCTCGCTGTCCGCCGGTTTCACCTGGATCGGCCGGTTCATCTGTAACAGAACACAGGGGGCAGCATTAGAGCAGGCGCGCCTGCACCCCGAGGTGCGTGGGTGTTCGAGGGACACGGCACACTGCCTACTCCACTGACGCCGACACCCGCGCCCCCAGCACCGGCGCAGCGACAGACTCAGACGTGAGGGTCTTCACTAAAGCCCCCCCCTCCCCAGTGCGGTCCCCAGGGCCCCCCTGATTTCAGGAGGGTTTCTCAGGACTGAAGACCCTGGGGTGTCGCCTGCCAGCCATGAGCGGCTCTTGCTAACCCGATGTCGGTCCACCCAGGACACAGCTGGCTTTGCAGAGTTGGTCTCCGGCCGAAACTGATTCCTGCCTGGCTTGGAGCCTGGCAGCGAGTTGCGCCCCACCTACTGTGCCATCCCCCAGACGCCAAGGATGGGTTCCAGGGGTGCCTGAGGTTCTGGGCTGCGCAACTCCTGGTTGGAGCAGAGCTCAGGGTTGGGGCTCCAGACTGCAGCCAGGCTGTCCCCTCGGTGGGGTGGGGGCAGTATGTGCGGGGTGGGCATCTACTCATCTCCTGTGATGTCCGGGTCCCAGGAGGACAGCAGGGGGCACCGCCTGCCTCCCCATCTCCCAGCAGCTGGCCTCTCGGGAGGATCCGTTCAATGCCTCATTCAGGCCACTAGGGGGCTCGCAACTCCAAGGATCCAAGGCTCCGCAGCCTGTTTTTAATCCTCCTGCTGCCAGAGGCATAGGATGGGCTAGGAGGCCCTGAGGTCCCAAGATATTTCAGACAATAAAAACGGGAGGAATCGCGCAAATGGAATCGAACTTTGTGTCTCTGCCCATTCTTCTGCGTGTCACGTACCTCCCTGATCCCTCATCCTACCTGCATTCCTCTCCCAAATGAACCCCGAGAGGCAGGCAGGTACTAAACGCCCCATTTGATAGATGCAGAAGCCAAGGTGGGGCTGACTAGTGCCAGGATGTGCCTGAGAACCCGGGTCTGCCAGGGCTATTTGGGGGCTTTTCGTTCTGTACCAGGGGACTTTTCATTGCCACTTCCCCTAGTGTCTGGAGGAGGCTGGACTAGCCCGTGGCAAGCTTCCTCCTGGTCTAGGATTCTGAGCAAGTTTTGGCTGCGACAGGACGACTGGGTGGGGGAGCGTGGGGGCCCATGACTCAGCAAGGTGAAGACGAAGCCGGGGAAGGGCAGAGTCACTCGAGGAAGGACAGAGGCGGGAGGCAGGGCACGGAGCAGTGGACCAGGAAGCTCAGGTGGCCGGGGGCAGGAGAGGATGCTGGGAGGCCGGCCCACTGAGAGGGGTTGGGTGCCACGGTTTGCTCAGAGGTCCCCACTCGGCGCCCCTCATGGAGCCGAGGGAAAGGAAGGTCCTGGGTATGTAAGCTCGGCCAGCAGAGTTAAGCGTGCAGTACGGGGACCTCCGATCACAGGGAGAAGAATGAGGGACATAAGGAAATTCCCAGCTTCCTTTCAGGGGCCCTGGCTCCCCCATAAACCGCCTCCTTTCCAGTCTTTGAGAAAAAGATCCAGGAGACCAAGCAGGCATCTGGCTGTGGGAGAAGGGCTCTCTCCCCGGTTTCCGTTCTGTGCCTTTGGAGGCTCCACACCCACCCCTTTCCGGGGGCTCTCCCCTCTTCTGGAACACCCCTTCCCCTCCTGGCTCACAACCCCCCTCCCCCCGCCCCTAGAGCTTCAGTGCTCTCTTACTCCAGAAAGGCTCCACGGCTGACCTGGACCCAATTCTGGCCACTGTACTCTCCTGGATGAATTTCTATGGCTTTCTTGCTTATGTAATTGTTATAATTCTCTGAGGAAGGTATTATTCTCTCTTTTTCGAATGAAAAGCTAAGCCCCAGGAGTGGGAGGTCTGGGATGCAGCCAGGGTTGGTAGGCATGGAGCTAACACGACGAGGGTGGGTTGGCCTTCATACCTTTCATCTCATTTGACCCCAGGCTGCCCTGGAAGTGGGGCTTCCCAGGTGGTGCAGTGGTAAAGAAGCCACCTGCCAATGCAGGAGACTCAAGAGATGGAGTTTCGATCTCTGGGTCGGGAAGATTCCCTGGAGGAGGAAATGGCAACCCACTCCAGTATTCTTGCCTGGAAAATCCCATGGACAGAGGAGCCTGGTGGGCTACAGTCCATAGGGTCACAAAGAATTGGACACGACTGAGTGAGCACACTGCACTGCTGCTCTGGAAGGAGGGGATGAAGGGAAGATGTCCTTCTGGCAAGGGGCGAGTGGGTCATCGCATTGACTACAACTTCCTCAGCCTAGCCCCCCAAATCTGGGCCCCACCACCTCTTGTATTATTTCATTCCTCATGGCCCAGCCCTTTCTCTCCTGTATGTTCCTTTGGCCTGAAAGCTTCCCTCCCACAGCCCCGCTGGCCTCTTGCCCTTGAACCTGAAGTCTTCCTGGTACTCCAGGGGGAAAGGCCCTGCAGGAATTCTCCCTTTTCCATATAGAAGGTACAGTCAACACTGGGCATTGAGTTGCAAGGGGGCCACTGCTCTGCTACACCTACAGGAACACAAGCAGCTGCTCCAAAATTATATTGTCAGAATATGACCACTTCCCCTAGGGTGTATGCAAATAGAGAATCTTTAGCCATGGAAACAGAGTTTCAGAGAGGTTAAGAAACTCTCCTGAGGTCACACAGGTGGTGTATGGTGATCAAGATGAACCCAGGACTCTGGACACTGGGCTGCATGTTCAAAGATGCTGGGAATCAGGCCTGACAGGCTTGGGGAAGGTCTGGGAAAGTTCAAAGTAGAAGAGCAGGGTGGGGATGGGGGTGGGGTGATGCAGGCTTCTCCAGGGAGGACTTGGGTGAGCAGGGGCAGGCAGAGGTGTGTGAAGCAGAGTTAGCCGAGCTCTGTAGCTGTGGAGACGAGGGAGGGAGGAGCCCACAGAGGAGACTTCATCCCTGGGGCCAGAGCAGACCCAGGCCAGCCCCAAAAGCTTAGGTCAGGGGACCCAGGAGGGCGTTTTCCCTGGCACTTTGTTTCTGAGTCCCGTGGCAAGCTGTCTCTTTGTGGGAGCAGAGGGGGTGGGTCCTACGGATTGACAAGGGCTAGGGCGGGGGGAACAGTTTCTGTTGTGTGGAGACCCATTTTCCACGGTAAAGTAAATAAGACAAATGGAATCTGCCTGTGCCTGGAGCCTTCCCCTGCGGGAGCGCCCCACCCTCAGGCAGCCAGCCATTGGCCCACTGTCCTTGGTACCTGGGCGTTTGTGAATGCTCTGCCCCAGATCATGGACTCAGTCTTGGTTCCCTTCAGCCCCCCGCTGCCCCCCCACAAGCCCTCCCTGAGCCAGCCAGCCCTGGACGGTGCTCCCAGACCTCCTCCATCGCTGGGATCCTGGCAGCAGGGACCCAGGGGCTTGTCCAGCCTCCCACCTGCCCTCGGCTATGGGCCAGGCACCCGTGGCAGAGCAGAATTGACTTGGCTCCCGTGGACCTGTGGCTCCCGGGGTCATATTTCATATCCCATTACGATCTAAGGATGGTCAGCATCCACATAGCCTTCGCGGGGATGTCAGGGAGTGCCTGGCTAGATGGAGAGAGAAAATATGGCCTGTGCTTTCTTAATTCTCAGCAGAAACAAAGTGTCAGGATCAGTCGGGAAGACTTCTTAGCAGGCTCTGTACCGATGCCTCAGGCCTGAAGGGAGACCTCCCTTCTTTGGCCAGTGTCTCTCTTCCTTGTTCCAGACTCAGGCCCTGTCTAAGCCCACCTCTGTCTTGGGGAGAGGAGGCCAGACCATGTCGCAGAGATGGCCTTGCAAGGCAGAAACGGCGAGGAGGGGGAGAGAGGATACTGGGAGGAAGGCAGGAGGGGCGGTGGCCACTTCCTTGCCCTTCTAACTTTGACCGTGGCCTCTGGATCTCTCAGCCACATGAGCCCCAGGGCGTCCCTTGAAAGTGAATGTCGAGGATGCTGGAGCCTAAGTCTCTGTGTCTTTCCTCTAACCCATCCCTTGCTCCTCTGTCCAGCCGTCCCTCTCAGCCATGATATTGTCCTTCTGGGTGGGCTTGGGGCTGGAGGCAGGGTCGTCAGCCTGGAGGTCATTACCCCATGCACCCTGTGGCCTTCAGGACAGCTTGGGTCTCCTGGTACCTGAGCTGGGCTGCCGGCAGGACAGGTCAAGCATGAAGCCACCCTCATGCTTCCGGGGTCAGCCCTTCCAGGGACATCGCTAACTTTAGTTGTCATCAACTGTGTTCCTGCTTCCAGCCCGGGGGGCACCCTCAAGGGGAACGAGTGGCCCTGGCCCAGCACTGGGGACTTCCCTGTCCTGCTGTAGCCAAGGGTGGGTGGCAGGGCTTCTTCCCTCCCAGGCCCCTTCTGCTCTGGCTGGGTCTCCCTTCCCCCTCCCCATCTCTGCCACTTTTTGCGTCAACACATATCCATGCATTAAACAAGACATTCCATTAATTTCTTCATCATCATAACTTAAGCTGGGACATACCCTTTAAATATTCATTCAGCTATGAAAACTGGGCATTAAAATTTTAATAATGTCAAGCTCATTTGAACCGGGCTCCTTGGGGACGATTACGATACAATTAGAATAAATATGATGATTGAGCTAGTCCAAGGGCTTCACCTGTCTGTCCAGCGTGGGTCCCTGTGGAAGAAGAGGCCTGTGGCCAGTGGGCAGACAAAAAGACTGATGGACAGACCAGCCAGACCTTTCCTGACACCCTCTAGCCCTCCCACACCCCACTCATCTCTGCTCTGGGGGCCCACGTGATCCTCCCACCCACCCCTGAGGCTCTCTGCTGCCCACTCTGGGCCACAGTGCTGGGCCCTCCCTTCACACCTGGGAAGCCGGCCCTGATTAACCATTGTGATTTCAGTTACCCTTTCCCTTGTCCTCCTGGTACAACTCCAGCTGTGCTTCTGGGCTTGTTCCTGCGTGGCAGCCATGCCCCCCCACCCCCTGTCTCTTCTCCCTGGCCCTGCAAGGGGCTCCTCGAGGCTGGCATGAGACCACACCAGAGC